GCCCAGGCTTTTGATGCCATTTGGGGAGTGAACCAGTGGGTGGAAGATCTTTTTCTCTCTGTCTCTCCCTCTCTCTCTCTGCCTTTTGGTTAAATTTAAAAAAGAAAGGAATAGGAATTGGTGTTTCTCACTGATCCCAGCCTCTTACCCAGAAAAGTTTTCAGTATGGTTAAATTCTAGGGATGCAAGGGCTATTACTTTGGTGTAGTGGGTTAAGTAGCTGCCTGCAATACCAGCATTCCATATAGGTGCCAGTTAGAGTCTCTGCTGCTCTACTTCTGATCCAACTCCCTGTTAATGTGCCTGGGAAAACAGTGGGAGATGACCCAAGTCCTTGGGCCCATGCACCCACATGGGAGACCTGAATGAAGCTCATCGCTTTGGATTGGCCTAGCTCCAGCTGTTACGGCCATTTGGGCAATGAACCAGCGGATAGATCTCTTTTTTCTTATCTCTCTCTCTCCCCACTGCCTCCGGCTCCCACTCCCTCTCCAACTCTGCCTTTCAACTAAATCAAATCTTTTCTGTTTTAAGATTTATTTATTTACTTGACAGGCATAGTTACAGACAGAAAGGTCTTCCATCTGCTGGTTCACTCTCCAAGTGGCCGCAATGGCAGGAGCTGCCAGGAGCTTCTTCCCGGTCTCTCATGTGGGTGCAGGGGCCCAAGCACTTGGGCCATCTTATGCTTTCCCAGGCCATAGCAGAGAGCTGGATCAGAAGTGGAGCAGCTGGGACTCGAACCAGCACCCATATGGGATGCTGGAGCCACAGGCAGATGATTAACCCACTGTGCCACAGCACCGGCCAAAATAAATCTTCAAAAAAAAAAAAAATTAAAAAATTCTAGTGATGCAGCAGAGATAGGGTCTCCTCATGTGATCATTTTTGGGGAGATGCTCAGCTTTCCCTTACAGAATGGTCACTTGATCACCCTGTACATCTTCCCCTCAGGGAGCTGTTTTTTGTTTCCTTCAGGGAAAGGGGTGTGGCCTGGGGGCTGGTAGTTGTCAACAGGCGCTACATGAACATGAGGCAAGACAAGTTTCATTGAGAGTTTGTTTCAGTCCTTATCATTAGACTAGGGTGTATACATTGGCAAGTAATAGAGAAAAGGTTGGAGCCATGCTTAAGAACATAAAACTTGTTCCTATGAGTAATTGGGCAGGTGGCAGGAGAGGGCAGGGTTCTCTTCTGTTAGCTGCTAGAGTGGGAGCACATATCTTGACTATTCCCCTCTCAAGGACAAAGGCCCTCGAACAAGGATGTTGCTGATTTTGCCTGTGGGGTGTTATGTGGAGTCTGTTCATTTGTCATGCAGTGACTGTTAGCCCAGCCTGTGCTGCTGTAATACAGCCCACAGACTTGTCTCACACCAATCCTTGTTCCCTAACATGATCTTTCTCTAACAGTCCAGAGAGATCTTTCTTTTCATTTTTCTAAGACTTATTTTATTTATTTGAAAGACAGAGACAGAGGTAGAGCCAGAGAGAGAGGTCTTCCATCTGCTAGTTCACTCCCCAAATGACTGCAATGGCCATAGCTAAGCTGATCTGAAGCCAGGAGCTTCCTCTGGGTCTCCCACGTGGGTGCAGGGGCTCAGGCACTTGGCCCATCCTCTACTGCTTTCCCAGACCATAGCAGAGAGCTGGATAGGAAGTGGAGCAGCTGGGACTTGAACCAGCGCCTACATGGGATGCCAGCGCTGTAGGCCATGGCTTTAACCTGCTGCACCACTGTGCTGGACCCCAGAGAGATCTTCCAAAAGCCTATCCCATCATCCTCTCCTTCCCCCTACATAATGATGTAATGTGTGCCACATAAAGCCATGTTCCGCAGCGTTTCTCACTGAAGCTGACAGGCTGTCCGTGATCTGTTCCCTCTGCCGTCACCCCTCTCTCTGTTTGCCTGACTCATTCTCCATCATTCGCATTGACTGCTTCCTAAAATGCCTCAGAATCATGAGCTTGTTTCTGCCACTGGGCCTTTGTACTTCTTGTCTTTGCCTAAAACTTGTTGCCTCCTCCAACCCTATCTCCCCTACATAACTTCCTTTATTCAGGCCTTTTTAAATGTCTCATTTTTAGAAAAAAAAACTCTCCTGAGCATGCTTATCCATCTCTCTGTGCTGTTTTTGGTCATAGTGCACACAGCTGCCTGACACGGTGCACAGATGAGTTACCTGTTTGGTCGCCCTGGTGTCCAGCTGGTCCACACAGTTCCCAGTGTGAAGTGTGTGGTTTTCTTCATGCTGTGTTCCCGGTGCTGAGGCACACGGAGCACATAGGGGGCGCCTCAGTAGCTCTGTTGCTGGCGTTAAATCTGCTCCACTGCTTCCTTGGGCCTGGTGCTGAATCTTGGCCGTGTAGAGAGGTTGTGCATGCTTACCTAGGAAGGCAGTCTTGAACTGCACAGAGTTGACTTGTGCCTCGGGCACCCACGGGGGTGGAGGCAGGCCACTGGTGCTATCGTGCTGATTTCTGGGACAGCCACATGTGGAATTATCGCAGAGTTGCCCGGAGACCTGCTTGTCAGAAAGGGAGTTAAGCCTCCCACCCCCCTTCCAAGTGAGCTCTCCCCACGCAGTCTTTCCTGGGTGGAAGGGAGTGCCGCTGCAAGCCTTCTGTTTTGGTAGGAAGACAGCTCCAGATTGTCCTGTTTCTCTTATCAATGAGCAGGGCTGGGAAGGCTGCAGGGGCAACTTCATCAGAGGCGGTGATTGCTCCCAGCAAAGCCGAGTGCTCACTGGCTTTTTGGAGTGCTACGGTAAGGGAAACTTGCACAGGAGCCATCACGGGGGAAAAGAAAGTCAGAAATAACTGTTATGGTTGTGTTCTTACACAATTAAATGATTGGAGAAATTGCCCCTTGTCACTTGCAGTGCATTGTGGGCTAGGCAGTTCTTTACAGATCTGAACCAGGAGCAGAGAAGCATGTCATCAAAGAGATTCTGTGTGGGGATACAAAGAAAGGGTACTTACCTGTGTGTGATATGGCTTTGAAATTGTATTTCCTCCTGCTTAATTGAATTATGCAGCTCTTGGCAGGTGTCTTTAGAAACAACTAGGGGTGGGTAGCAGGTTACAAGTCACCTCCTTCCACTAGGGTACCCTCAGACAACAACTGACGCTCAGAGTCAGTATGGGAAAAGGAAATGAAATCTCCCTGGGGGTGGTGGGGGCACAGGACATCTGTGTACTTACTGTAGCTCCGCCCTGTTCCCTCAGCAGAACTTTAATCTGCATCATGGTGTGTGTTCGGGGAGCTCCCCAGGCCTCCAGTGGCCCCTGGCATGGGTGGGTCCTGGCTGGTCCTGGCACAGCAGAGCCTTGGAGCTGGCCAGTTAGCCAGATGTTGCCTTAACTCTCCTGTGTGTTTGGAGTTTATTGTTTCTGTGGTCGGAAGGGGGTGGCTCCTTTCTCTTCCTCTTCCTCCTCTCCTGAAAACTAAGCCTCGAAGTTTGTCATTTGCCAGTCTTTGAACTTGGAGGTGTTAAAACTTAGAGTTCAGTTCAGCAAGCCTCAGATTCCATTGTTGTTCCTGGTGACTCCCCTTGGTTAAGTGACAGGAGGGACCATCTGGTGTTGTCATTCTGTCCCTCAGGTGTGTATCCTGTAGCTCTGTTCTGTTATCCAGGGATATGTTTCACCCTTTCCTGTGGGTGCTTGTGCTGCCTGTGTTCTTGTTTCCTGAGTGTTCTGTGTCTTCCTCGGCGCATCCCTGGCCTCCCAAGGGGCTGCATCGTGGATCCGCATCCTCACGCAGACAGATAAAGGCTAGGGCAGGTAGCACAAAGGGAGCCACTGAGCTTGGCCAGGCCAGACCAGTCCACAAGTCTGAGGAACAACTCTTGAGAGCCAGAACGTCAGCCAGAATTCTCTTAGCGTTTCCTGGGGGCTGCCAGTCACGAGCCCGCTGACTGTCAGCAAGGCTGGCTCCCTGCCTGTCAGGGCTTGCCGAGGAAGCAAGCCTGTTTTTGTGCAGGGCCTCTGCAGCTCTGTGCACCCACAAAGCTGCGGCTTTCATTTTAGTAGGGCTCAGCTCAGAGTGAACAAAACGGCTCTCCGAGGTGGGTGTTCAGGATTCTGCATGGAGCAGGCTTTTCTGTTGAGTCTATAAATACCATTTCAGAGTCACTTCTAAAATAAATAAAAGCCATGGTTACATTTCATCCTCCCCAGAAATCTCAGCTCCTAGGTCACTTTGAGGTTTGGTGATGAAGGTGCTGCCTCACTTTAAGATGTTCTTTTGGGCCTCACCAAGGTTTTTGTTTTTTTTTTTTTCTTTCTGTCACTTGCCCTGTGATGTAACTGTGTGGTACAGCCGTGATCCAGACCTGTCTGAGAAGCTCTTCTGGCCCCAAAGCTCTAAGTCACCTGGAATTCAGAGTGACCTGAGCCTTGTCACGAGTTCATGAGCAGCCCCTAGGCCATCTCTGGAGACCTCTGTTCAAGCATCTTCCTTATCTGAAACTAAGCCAGAACAGATTAGTCCCTGCCTGTGATCTGTAGGTGTTAGAATAGCTGTCAACTAGCCCTTGAGGCTTGTGTCTGCTCAGCCTAAGCAGAAGCTGTAGTGGGGATGCAGGTGGCAGGTGAACCACACTGCTGCCTGGGGGTTCCTTGCAGTGGTACTGCACCAACGGGCTACGGGCTACGAATGGCCGATAATGGGTGAGTTCCCATATGATGAACAGCCACACAGATGCAGGCTAAGAATGAGGCTGGCTGTTCTAGGACTGACGGAGACGCCAAGAAGTCAGAGATAAAAGAAGAAAGGGCCAGACTGTCCAAGGGGCCCTTAGGTGGTCTAGTTTGCTAGACTATTTTCCAGAGAGGAAGACTGAGAATTTGTAATCCTCTTGAGTTTAACTTCAGATTCCAGGCTCAAATGACCACCCCCTGCCCCCTTCTAAAAAGGAGAGTCTGCCTGGCAATGTTGTGTTCACACAGGCGAGTCGTTGTCCTAATCACTAATGTCCTGCTGTTTGCTCACGCCAGCAAAAACCCGAGCAGCTGACTTGTTGGTGAACCCCCTGGATCCTCGGAATGCAGATAAAATTAGAGTAAAAATTGCTGACCTGGGAAATGCTTGTTGGGTGGTAAGTAGAGTTTGCTTTCTAAAACATTTTGGTGGTGAATCTGTGTGAGAAGAGACATTTCTTTCTGTGTTAATGCCTCTGTTTCCCCATGGTAATGCACGTGTTCCTTTCCAGCATAAACACTTCACAGAAGACATCCAGACGCGGCAGTATAGGTCCATAGAGGTTTTGATAGGCGCAGGTTACAGTACACCTGCTGACATTTGGAGTACGGCGTGCATGGTAAGAGCGGCCTTGGCCATTTTCTTTTTGAATTGGCATTGGGACGGGCAGATGGTCTCAGTTCTGAGGATGAGAGTCATCCATGGTGGAAGAGTTCTCCCCAGGTGTACCCTGGGAGGGTTAGTTTTATTGGGCTTGTGAACTGCACTCTCATTAAGGCAGCCCCCACCCCGGGAATCTAAGGGCTGTGGTGATGCAGGACTTGAGGTCATTGTTCCTGGCTGCCAGAGCCCTCCCCTCCCTCAGGCCTGGGGAGAAGGTTACCTCGGCTGAGAGTCTGCAGTCCTTCCCACTGGCCTCTCCCACACCCACCGGAGATGTGGAACGCCTTGTCTCCAAGGGGTTTCTCTGCACCAAAGCCAAGTGTCTCTCCCTGTATAGAGCACACGCTAGAGAGTGTACTGGCGTATTGTCTGTCCTGCGATGCCTGGGCGCTTGTGAGGAGAACGTATTTTCTGCTCAGGGCTGTGGGGCTCCTGGTCCCGCGTGCTGTGTAGCAGACCCATTTCTGCTGCAGGTTTGCGCTTCACCAGCTTGGTTGTGGGTGACTCTTCCCCCAGCCCCACTGGGTGTCTCCTGGCAGTTCCGTCCACCCCGCACCGGGTCCTGGAAACCTGGGTCCTTTCTCTCTGTGCCTTTGCTTTTCGTTCCTGGGCTGGAAAAGGCAGGGCTTGCATGTGTGGCTTAGTGTGGGGTGCTGTGCTTGTCCTGTTTCATACCATTTTTTTTAACCCAGGTTCTCCTCTAACATATTTTTTTTTTAAATTTTTTATTTGACAGAGTTAGACAGTGAGAGAGAGAGAGACAGGCAGAAAGGTCTTCCTTCCATTGGTTCACGCCCCAAATGACTGCTACAGCCGGAGCTATGCCAGTCCGAAGCCAGGAGCCGGGTGCTTCCTCCTGGTCTCCTATGCAGGTGCAGGGGCCCAACCACTTGGGCCATCCTCCACTGCCCTCCCGGGCCACAGTAGAGACCTGGACTGGAAGAGGAGCAATCGGGACTAGAACCCAGCGCCCATATGGGATGCCAGTGGCACAGGCGGAAGATTAACCAATTGAGCTACAGCGCTGGCCCCTCCTCTAACATTTAAATGAGAGGCTGTGGATGAAGCTTAGTATTTGTCTTCTCACTAAAAAATGCAATGCAGAATAAATGTGATAGTTTTGTTTTTCTAAGGGTAATTGAATGGTTCTTACGGACTCACTGAATTTTATGTCCATTTGTGCTGCAGCAGAAGCGCTGTGTTAGGCACATAGTGCCCGATGGTGTGCGCAGAGCTCTGTGCTCTGCCTTGTTCAAGGGGATGATTTGAGGCCAACACAGCAAGGGTGGGCAGGGCCTGCCCTGTGGCCTCAAATCCCTCCTTGCTCTGATGAGTGACACCAGCTGATTTTAAAATTGTCAAAAATGTACAAAGCTGTTCAGTGAACATCAAACACCGAGTCCCTGCTTTAGCTGGGCCATGGGTGAGAAGGGTTGAAAGCATTGGAGGGCTTGTGGTGGTGCCTTTGAACTTGGAGACTGCTGTGTGGAGGAGGCACATGCCTCACATTCTGTGTAAGTCCTGAGGGCAGCCGAGGTGGAGGCTGGACACGTGGGCGGCAGGGGTCAGGCCAGAGGGAAAGCAGCACTTTGAACCGTGTGGGCTGCAGGGAGCTGTGGGGCATTTCAGGACACAGCGAGGACGCGGAGCACGCTCCCCCAGCAACAGCGGAGTGGGGTGGGGGTGTCAGTGCTGCCCCGTGTAAGGCTCGGAGAACTCTTTCAGCTCTGAAATCTTTGGCTTCTCATTTCGGTGATAACAACCAGAAAACCAGGATAGGATCGCAAATGTAGCAGGATGGCTGGTGGAGCTATCAGTGTGGCTCTGTACCGGGTCATCCCCCTAGCCTTCCATAGGTAAGGATTTGTCTTCACCAAACGCCCGTGTTCTCCCAGCCTTCTTGAAATGTGGTGGCAGCAGACATGGTGGCATTCATGTCAGTGAGCACTAGTGAGAAAGAGCGTTCCTTCCGGCCCTCCTCCCACCTCCCACCTTCCCCTTTCCCCCCTTCCCCAGCCAGTGCTGCTCAGGCCACTCGTGAGGCTCCCTGCCCCTGGCCATTGCTTGTTGGAAGGCGACAAGCCTTCATCTCCTGCACACTCCAGCCCCACTGGGAGTCCCTTTCTTCTTCCTGGAGAACCTGGTAGAGAGGAGGCAGTGCTTTCCCACCCCTGACTCACCTGGGCGGGCGTTTCAGGAAAGAGACGTTTGGTCTCCAAGAACAGAGCTTGGTCCAGGGCGCATCCTTCCCTGGGGACTGAGCCAAGTGCACAGGGAATCATAAAAAATTCCCAAGTATTAAATGGTAATAAAGGTTATCTTGAGAGTGATTTACCTTTCATATTCTTATAGCTACCAGCATAAAAGCATCTTGTAAAGTACTGAAGCTGATGTTTTTATAGTTCTGTGCACTTGCTGTGTTGTGCATATCATTATCTGTTAGAAAAATCGAGCTGCCCCTCCAAGAAGCAGGCCTAGAAAACATGATGGGGGAACCTTCACCTTCTTCCTTCCTTTTCAAAAAAAGCTTTCATTGATGGGTTTCCTCTGGGATTTTGCTGGAGATACACGGTTGCTAATAAAAACAGTCATCTTTTAAAGAACATTCAGCTGATGTACTCAGCTATTAGGCAGCACACCCAGATGAAAATAATTTTGAAAGTGAAAGGATATAGCCAGCATAGGTGTCAAGGATGGGCTCCAGACACATCAGGCACTCTTGCTGAAACTCACTCCAAGTGGCTTCCCAGGACCTCTCTGGCCCAGTTGGGTTTTCATGTTCCTCTCTGGGGATGCGCCCTGATCCATCCTTCAGTGAAGGAGGAACCTGGCCCTGAGGACATCTCAGAATAGCATAGTCTCATTCAAAATACAAGTGTGGAAAGAAGTAGAAATGGGATTTTGTGTGTTCTTTTTCTCCTTTCATTTGTAAACACTCGACTACAGAGCAGTAATAATTGCTGTCTTTGTATATCATTAGCAAATTAAACTTGTGGTCCTGAGCTTTTTTTACGGAGAGCAGGAAAAGGGATACAAATAGCCTTTCCCACACACCAGCATGCCTAGGGTTAGCCAACAGTAGCACAGGAAGCAGCTCTTCATGACGCCCACAGTCACATCCACGGCGTGCCAGGCAGTGCGCCTCATCTGGCCCTGAGGATGAAGGAAGAGGGGTCTGTTTTGGTTTTACGTTGTCTGTTGGTAGAGGCAGATTGAATGAAATGATGAAGATAGACAATGAGGTGATGAAGATAATCTTTGATTATTAATACACAAAGGTCTTTGCTTACAGAGAGCCACACATCTACTAAAGGGCTCTGATAGCATGCAGTTGAGGGCTGTCTCTGGAGTGTGGCAGGCCTGGCTGAAGCCTCGTTCTGGCGTGTACAGAGCGAGTGGCTGCCTCCATCTACCAGGCCTGCCCACAGTGCTGCTGACTCACTGGTGCCTCGACCTTGTCTCCTGCAAGGGGAAGGGAGTCCACAGCCCATATAGCTTCCACTAGAAGAGACTGGAGAACATTCCAAGCACTGCTTTGTAGGAGGCTCTGTGGGTTGATTCAGATGCACGTGCGGCGCCGGTCTCCTGTATGAGGAGAGGAAGAAAGCCGGGACGTGGGGGCCAGCATCTGTGCGGTGCTTAGCATATCTTCTGTTGTGTCCTAGGCATTTGAGCTGGCAACAGGAGATTATTTGTTCGAACCACATTCTGGGGAGGACTATTCCAGAGATGAAGGTGAGTCTTGCTTCCCGCTGAACGCCCCCCGTCTGAGTCTGCTCCCAGCCCTGAACTCCTGCAGGGGATTGTGTTTTTAGCCTGAAATAGAGCCATATTTGGGTTTTCAAACACCAAATTCAGATGCCTTTCCTTTGAGTTTGAAGCCCCCTCAGCTTCAGTGAATGGGCAGAGGCTTCAGGCCCTAGGCAGCACTGCGGAGAGCCCTCAGGGCCCGAGTCCATCTCTCCTGCTGGCTTCCTACTGGCAGGAGCCTGGCCAGCCAGGAGGGGTGAGACTGTGCGGACCCTGGAGCTGTTCCGCGGTCCTTTTGCCCACTGATCTGCTGCCCATTTCTCTGTCCTGTTTGGGAGCTGAGTTGAAAACCTGGGAATTCTGGCCTGAATTCCATCTGTGCGCCTGACCATCTCCATGCTTTATTTGCTTGCGATGCCGAGGTGGCCTGGGGTGAGCTGGCATCAGTCACTGTTTCTGCTCCAGATGGTGCCTGAGGCCCTCCAGGCCCGCCAGCCTCTGCATGGATGTGCTGCAGACATTGTTGATTTGAATCTATTTCTGAGTTTTTACTAATTTCAATTTTTTCCCTCTTCTTTTGTCCCATCCTTCCCTCTGCCCCTCCCATTCCCATCTCCTTTTTTTCTCTCCTCCATAGACCACATAGCCCACATCATAGAGCTGCTAGGCAGTATCCCAAGGCACTTTGCTCTATCTGGAAAGTATTCTCGGGAATTCTTCAATCGCAGAGGTAGTACCTCTTCTTTTTGAAAAGCGCCACGATGCAGACAGAAACGAATGGCAGCTGTTGATTATAGCATTAATGGTGACAAAGGCATTTCTTCTAAATTCAAAAGGCAACCCAGCAGGATTCCTATGCTGATTTAAAAGTTGTCCCGGAAGACTGCATTGGCCCTGGGCTGCAGTCACCGTGTGACGGCCCCTCTTGGGGGCCCTTGACCATTGGCTGCCCCCAAGCTCTGGGTCCTGAATCTGGCTGCATGGGGAGAGCCTGTGCTTTTGATCTTCAGGTCGCGCTCTGTTTCTGTCTGCGCGGGCGGTGGTAGCGTCTGCATGCAGTGTACTGATTAAACTGTCGTGTGTTTCTGTTTTGCTGGCAATGTTTCCCAATGCAGATCACATAGCATTGATCATTGAACTGCTGGGGAAAGTCCCTCGAAAATACGCTATGTTGGGGAAATATTCCAAGGAGTTTTTCACCAGAAAAGGTAACGGTATTTATGCAACGCTAATTTTCAGCATAATCCTCTCCCAAAAGGAGAAATTGTGCATTCGTGTTTGGGCAGTGGAGAAAGATCTGGACTTTCACTACAGGGGAATTCTGCTGAAGAAAGCTCTCAAGAATTAACGCTGAACCAGCTGATAATCTGTGGAATGAGAATTTTGTAAGAGAACAACTGCCTAAAATCCTTTCTCTCCTCCCCCTCCTCTCTGCCTCCCAGCACATATCTGAGTATTCAGGTGCTTGTAAAAGGGAGTGTAAGTGGTTTAGAGACCCGCCATTCTCTGTGCTCATGGACCCTCTGCACTGGAACAGAGGCAGCCTGGAGACCCGACTCATGAGTGTCCCTAGGTGCCCTCCACTTGGCCTGTGCCTGTGAGATCCCATGCACATGAGATCCCTGGAGATCCAGCCCTGTTTTCCCATTGTGTTCATTCGCACTGTTAATGATAGGCTGAATGTTGCAGTTCTCACTGATTCAGTTGGAAAACATCCCCAGAAACCCAGGAATTATTTGTTTGTTTATTTTTCAAGACTTCCTCCCAAGTGCTATTAGATTGTTCCTGTGATGGACATTCCGGTCCTCTGAATTCAGCGCACTTGTGTGTGTGTGTGTGTGTATGTGTATATTTTTGGTCACAGCCTCCTTTAGGAAAGAACTTTCAGAGTTGATGTGTGTAGGTCATGGAGTTTGTAGAAATGTGTGGAAGTCTGTCCTGCTTCAGCTAAGTTTGGAGAGGCAGTCTGGCTTCTTGCCTGTGACATCAGGGGTTCTTGTGGAGCAGTAATCCTGTGTTCCCACCGGGCGACGTCCGCTTGGCAGGCCTCCTTTTGTCCTGTAAGTCACATTGCCCTGTGCCGTGTGACATGGGCAAGGTCTGAGGACTGACCCTCCTGCCTGCTCCAGGCACCTTAACCCTGCCTCAGCTTCTCCAGCTCCCCCACTGCAGGCTACTTTTGCGCATTAGTCATGAAGTGTAGGCCTTTTTCTCTTTACCTTTGTAAGACATAACAGGAAAAGAAATGGTCAGGAAAAGCCATTTGTTAGAGCACCAGCATGCGTTTCTGGTTTTGAGCATCTCAGCCTTGAGTCTGGGCCCCAGGAGCCAGGTGCGGGGCTTCCCTCCCAGCACAGATGCTCCCAGAGCTGCCAGGCTGTGCAGTAGTAGTGCTGGGATTTAAACTTGCGGTGAGGGACATGGCAGGTCATCTGTAAACCTAGGCTTCCTCGTCTGTGGGCAGGGGATTCAGGTTGGGGCATTGTTACAAGACGCGTGAGAGGTTGCCCAGGCAGCCCTTGGCACAGCAGGACTTGGTACTGCTGAGGCAGAGTTGTGAACAGCAGCCACTGGAAGCTCGTGACTCTGCAGACCAAGTTTCCACTGGAAAGTTCCAGAAAAGTTTATTCAAAAATGGCTGAAGCGAGGAAGAGCTCTGGATCTTGTAGGATTCTGTGTGGCTTGGGGAGGCAGGCTCCTCTTGCCACATTTCTGGGCACTTCCAGGGTTTGTGAGAGACAGCCTGGCCTGGGGAGCAGCCGTTCATGGTCAGAGGTGACTTGGATGATAGGTGACCTGTGAGTTATCTGCCTGGCCTGCCATGGAAGTAGAGAATCTCAGCCTGGTGATGCCCTAAAAGTGGGAGAAGAGCCCGGAGGTAGTGCTGTAGCACCTGCCCCTCTCTTGGGGGCGGTTGCAGAGGTTGGAACACTCTTTCCCCAGCACAGGCATCTGTTGCCTGCCAGTGAGGACCTACAATTGGCAAAGCCACTCCATGGCCAGGACCATGCTCTGTATCTCTTATTTATCCATTGTCTTGGGACTGGTGCCTGGTGGGGGTGGGGGTGGGGGGCAAGGATTGAGGACCACATACTGTGTACAGTGGGGAAGAGGGACAGAGGACACTGCTTCCATGATGACAGAACAAGTCACTTGGGTTATTGGGAGGTGCTGGTCCTGGACTTCCTCCTGGAGGCAGCTGCTCTTAGGCTTTCGTGCCTCTTGGGCTTTGCTGCTGGCCTGGAGCTGAGACCTGAGGCCCTCGCCCGCTGGATGCTGGCCCAGAAGCAGGAGCAGAGTTAGAACCTTTCTTCACCTGTTGGGCAGGCACCCCTTCAAGGCACAGGTTGAACAGTGATGCCTGGATGACCCTTATCCAGGTGGCAGGGTAGGGGTGGGGTTGGGAGCCGTGCCCTGGCACCCTCCTGGCTGGGAGGCATTTTTCACGCTGGCTTTGCTGCTGGCACAGCTGTGCAGATTTGTGGCTGCCGGACACTGTCATCACCCTCACTTGCCTGATTCTTTCTGAGCCTCTTGTTGGAAGGTGGCCTAGGAGTAACACGCATTTGGACTCTCAGTGTTGCCGTGTTGACCAGATTCCTTTCTTCCCTTCTTAGACTCAGAGGAAGCATTCATGACTAGCTGAGAAGTCCCCTGAAAGACGAGGGCTTGGGACCTGAGTTCTTTGCTGATAATTGTTTATGTGGAGAGCAGAAGCGATTTGGGGTGAAGAGAAGTGAGGGCCACTCGTGAAAATAGATTTCACCACATCCCCTAGGAGTGGGGATGGTTTCCATGTGGCCTCCCAATTAATGTCTGGATATATATTTTGGAAATAATGAAATCTTAAAGTGTATCCATGTAAGGTTTTTTTCCAAAATACTTTTGTACCAAAACGAATCAAGAGAAAACCAGATTGAAACTTAGCTTGCCACAGTTGCATTTGCCAAGTGGGTGCAGCTGGAGAGGAGTCTGACAGGAGCTCCCTCATCTCCTTGGGTTCTCTGGGGTGAGAGGAGTAGTTGTTGTTGCTAAAGCAGAGTTACAAACAGGAAACACTGTCAGCCGGCAAGTGAGCAGACAGCATCCGTGCTTGGAAACTTGGGGAAAATGCAGGGCAGGCGGCAGCGAGGGCCAGCGTGGCCAGCATCGTGCGCCACGAGCTGACCTCCCCTCGCCTGTAGCGAGAAGCCGTGATCGTGCATGTTTGAATCATTCCTTGCTGGGGAGGTTAAACTTGGCCCTGAAATGTGGGTTAGGGAGGTTACTACTGCTTTTACCCTAGTGATGTTAATTTGCTGCTTGTTCCTTCAGGTGTGAACATTAGCCCTCGGTGAAGATTAGGGGATTAGATGTGATCGGATACAAGCTAACACCTCCCTGGAGTCTGTCCCCAGGAAGCGTGCAATCCACCGCAAGGTGGTAGGGGGAGAAGCAGTACTGCCAGGAGCAGATCTCTCTCGTCTGTGCTCTCTGACCCGCAAGTGGCCACCATTGGTCACAGGCTGTGTTGAGAACAGATACATCAAAGAGAGAGCTAACTTTAAAAAAAAATATTTTATTTATTTGAAAGACAGTTAAAGAGAGAGGTAGAGCCAGAGACAGAGACAGAGGTCTTTGATCCGCTGGTTCACTCCCCAAATGACTGCAATGGCCAGAGCTGAGCTGATCCGAAGCCAGGAGCCAGGAGCTCTTCTGGGTCTCCCATGCAGGTGCAGGGGCCCTTGGGACTTTTGGGCCATCCTCCACTGCCCTCCCAGGCCACAGCAGAGAGCTGGATTAGAAGTGGAGCAGCTGGGACTCGAACTGGTGCCCATATGGGATGCTGATGCTGCAGGCTGGGCCTTTAACCCACTGTGCCATAGTGCCAGCCCAGATACCCTTTTTTTTTTTTTTAAAGATTTATTTTATTTATTTGAAAGAGTTAGAGAGGTAGAGACAGAGAGAGAGGTCTTCCATCCACTGGCTCACTCCCCAGATGGCCGTAACAGCCGGAGCTGTGCCGATCTGAAGCCAGAAGCCAGGAACTTCTTCCAGGTCTCCCATGTGGGTGCAGGGGCCCATTGACCTGGGCCATCTTCTACTGCTTTCCCAGGCCAAAGCAGAGAAGTGGATCAGAAGAGGAGCAGCCGGGACTAGAACCAGCACCTGTATGGGATGCTGGCACCACAGGCTAGGGCGTTAGCCTGCTGCGCCACAGTGCCAGCCCGATACCTAACTTTTTAATAAGAAGAAACTTGGTTCCTTGATGGTGGCACTGGTGTACTGTTGTGTTTGTCAGACTGAAGACCTTATATGCATTTGAGAATTTGAAAAGTGCAATATGTACAAGAAGCTTCTGTGTGGCAGCATAAAAGTCCACATTTCCCCCTTATATCAGGGACAGCATCAGGGCAGTGCTGTGAGGTGGGTTAACAAGGAGCACAGGGGAGGGGAACCCGACAGCTGATGCAGCTCAGAGGCCAGGGTCGGGTAAGGTGCTGCATCCCCTATCGGAGGGCCTAGGATTCAGGCCCATCTTGGCTTCTGACTTAGCCTATTTTATAGCATGGGTCACTTTATAATTACCATTATTCACTGAGATACAATACCAGGATTTTCTTTATAATCTTCCTATGTGTAGTTTGAAATCTTAAATGCTCCTGTGTTTAATTCTAACATGGTCTATGGGCAGAGTAATTTCTTTCATAAATCACTTAAACTAACATTAAAAAAATATGATGGAAGTATTTAAAAAGCACTCTGGGGCTGGCACAGTGGCACAGGGAGTTCAGGTGCTGCTTGGGGCATTCTGATCTCATATTGGAGTCCATGGGATCAAATCCTGCCTCCACTTGCACGCCAGCTTCCTTCCTGCTACCGCACAGCCTGGGAGGCAGCAGGTGATGGTTCAGATACTTGGGTTTCTGCTGCCCACATGGGAGACCCGGGTGTAGTTCCTGGCTCCTGGCTTTGCCCTGACCCTGTACTGGCTGTTGTGGTCATTTGGGGAGTGAGACAGTAGATGGAAGATCTCTCTTTCTCTGTCTCTGTCACTCTTCCAGTAAGTATAAAGAAATAAGTGGACCATTAGAAAGCTGCAGGGGTGGTCTGCGGCTGCTGAGTAAGTCTCTCCGCAGAGGGAAGAGACCTTGCTCAGAGCTGCTTGTTGTCAGATTGCAGCTCTGCCAGGGTGTCTGTCGGGCACGTCTGGAAGCCGGAGGGCTGC